CTTTAGTTCTACATTCCTCGAGATGTTTTCATTTTATTTACTTCCTTTGCATTATACTTCCTCGTGTTTTTCTCTGTTAACTAAAAACTGCATTGCTTTCAGCCAATTAGATTCCAGAACATGTATATGAATTCATTAAAGAACTAACGTTTGGTCTTGTTAAATTTTAGTGCGGGCCCATTGTTTTTGAGCAAGAATCATTTTCCGCTGAAGTTCTAGTTTTAATTGCTGCCGCAGCTCATCTTCCTTTCGTTTAAAGCTGAGCTCCATGGCATTCTTTTCCCCTTCGAAAATTTTGGCAAGTTCATGTTTTTGAATCCTGAAACTATCAAGACCTTCTTTGAGGACTTCAATGCTCTGCAGCAGATAAGCTCGCTCAAAAGAGTACTTCGATTCACATTCGTCTTCCACGACTTTGCGCAAGGAGGCTTTCTCCTGCTGAAACCTTTCTGACATCGCAGCTTTTTCTCTCTCAAACGATCCTAACAAGATTTCTTCTTGTTTCCGCAGGAGAGTCAAAAGTTCCCTGTTGTCCGCTATATTAAAGGTGTCACAGCAACTGCTTGCAGTTCCATTCGCCGTTGACTTTGTAGTGGTGACAAGGATTTCGTTGTCGTTTCGCAAGCCCAGGTGATGGAATGCATCGCGATGAACGTGTCTAGTGAAAAGGTCGAATGATCTCCTCAGATCACAAAGTTCGTTCCGAAAGAAGTCTTTTTCCTCTGCAAGAACTCTAATAAGCTCTTCTTTAGCTTTAATGATCTCATTATACTCATTCCTCACTCTCATTTCAAAGTCCTCCTTCTCTTCAGCACATTCTTTCTCCATTGTCTCTCGCACTTGTTCCAGTTCGTCTTCAAATTCCTCCATTTTTCGCCGCAAGATTTCGTCAAGTTCTGTTTGACACGAAGATTCTTTGGTGTCTATAATCTTTTTTCCATTGCCGGCATTTTTATCACAATTATCAACCTCTTCTTTGAAACGAGAAAACTTTTCTTGTCTGCTCTCTGTCTCATTCCCGCTGGATTTGAAACGTTCGCTTTTGTTTTCCATTGAGTTTTTCTTCCTCTTTCTCCCTGGGAGGCTATAAATGGCCGAGAAAAAATTTGTATCGAGATTATGCTACCGGCAAAATGCAGTTTAGAATAAGATGTGTTTATAATTCATTTTCCTTTCGCCAGCAAGAGAAGTTCCATTGGAGTTCACTGATTTTAGTAGTGATTACTTAATAAGGACGTTGTGCCAGTAATTATAAACGACAGGTGCGAGATTAGTTTGTTTATAGTTTGTATTCCAAGACTTTTGTTTGAAAACTAAAACTACCTGTATATTATGCAAAGTATTTTGCGTAATACAGATCGAAACCCCCGACCCCTGGTGGTCTAAGACAATCTCGCTAATAAAAATTTCATGACGTTTTCCTTCGCAAGCGTATCACCCTCATTTGAATTTCCCCTCAATTATTTTGTTTAGTCAGCTTTTTGATGAAAAAGACATCGATTGGTGCAATCAGTCAAGAGTGAACAGAAACTCTTGTTTTTTGATCTTGTCGTACATCGAAACACTGTTTTGGGCTACATTAGTTGCATTTCAGCCCGCTTTTAAGTCACTTGAGGTCGTTTAAAAACCCCTAAAATTGGCCAATGTCCAATATTTTAATCACATCTGTCGCAACTTAGCAAAAAGCGCCCTTCAACTTGTACCGTACCACACGCGTAAGATGTAGAATTTGGCTTTAAACGTATTAAGAAAACCTTTTATTGGAATGCAACAGTTTTTGGACGGGATTCTTCTAAATTACAACCGAATGAAGCAAAGGTAGAATTTTTCGGCCGATAAGCTTCCAAATTGTGCTGTCTAAATTGCCACTGTTTACGACGGTTTCTCGATAAAATAGGCGCAAAGGACGGCGGGATTGTAAATGATGGAGGAACGTCTTCCACCGTGGGAAGCTAGTGGACAGGGGATAATCGCGCGCGAAATCATTGCAAGCATAGTTGATATAAAAGAAGAACAAGACAGCCAATCCCGTTCCGTTAAGTCTAGTCCCTTCCCAGAATGGAAGGCTCTAAATGACATCTATCGACACCAGTTTAGTACCCAGCGGTTTTGATTGAAAACATGGCAGGTACGAGGTGTATGGGGATGTCTATGAAGGCAACTAAAGAGTTTGAAGGGTACCGTAAATAAGCCCCTTTATGTATAAGCCCCTCCAAATATAAGCCCCCTAAACTTGTAACGCAAAAAACCCTCCGTTAAAACGCCCCTCCAAGTTGTGGCGTCGGCGTGTCAGTTATTTACCATAGAATCTGTTACGCCCTTTCGTAGAGAGCCAAAGAAGCCGGCTTTTTTACAACCCACGTTTTCAACTCACGTTCAAGTTGTCTCACTCGATCAGTTCGTCCTCCAGTCCAAAATGCAATGTACCTTATGATATTTGTGCCGGTCCATTTAAAATAGCTCTCCAGAGGAAAAATCCGTGAGGGGTTGCTGTATACACAGACAATGACTTGACAATTGGTTTTTTTATCAGTTAGGAGGTACAAAAAAAAAAAATCAGTGATCTTGCACGACCTGTTTTGCTTTTTGCAACATGTCGTCAAGCACATGTGTAATTCAAATTAACCTTTTAGCACACAAAGATACCACATAATGGTCTCGCTTTCCCTCTCATTTGAATCATTAGGCTGAATAGCCTGTCTTGTGGGGAACAGGGAGATTGCTTTTCTCGAGGTTCTCAGCGTATCACTCAGAAATAAACAACAAACACAGATAAAGTTTAAAAGCCTTTCATTTATTTTAAAGAATGACATGAAATATATAGAAACTGACAAAAGCTGGACATTCGTTTATGAAATAGGCCACTTTCGATATATCTATTGAAGTCATGTCCTGAGAACACGAGGAAGAAGAGTGATGACTTTCGTTCCTTCTGGTTTTCTTGGCCTGGCTATGAATTTGGATAATAGCACGATATATCAAAGTGACGCCATTCATACCGAAGCCCCTACAATATTTAATCTTACTCTTGCCATTCAAAAATTTATTATTATCATTATAAAATGAAGCACTATTGTATTAAAATAAAGCACTATGTATTAAATGAATAAATTAAGTTGCATAAATTAAGTTCTTGCTACAACTACTGAAACGCTCTTGCTGGTGCTGACTTCGTTCCTGGTGTATGATCCATTAAATAAAAGAATTATATAAATTATGCAGATCGAGGAGGGGTATCGGATGAACGCCGAGGCGGATAACTTCTTTCCCGCCTCTCTGACCCTGATTGTGTGCCTTTAGAGAATAGTGTGTTATATATACTGACTTCCAAACCAGACCTTAGCTGCAGAAATTTTAGCAAAGGTTCCTGAATTGCTTATTGTATTGGCACCATTGGTCGGAAATTGAATGTTATTTTTTCCTAACTGCCCTGATAATCCGAATCTTCACTTTTCATACCCAGACGTGGGTTTCCTAAGTGATCTGCTAATGACACTACTTGAAAGAACGCAAAAATCTAAACTATAATCACTATAATTATTATTCAACACCAGTAAAGGTCTCTACAATAATTAAGCTTTTTTTCTTCTACTGCCGCAAAATCTTTATGGTGAACCGAAGTGCCTTTTATCACCTTACTCCTGATGTCACCTTTTTGAGTCAATAGTCCGTTTCTCCAACATGACATGACATGTTTATAGCGAGTGGCAATGTTGTAATCTAACCTAGCCGATCGATTTAAACGTTCGTAACATTGAATTGTAGCCACGGAATTATGTGGTAGGTTAGTAGCTGGCGTATGAGAAACTCTGAAGGCTATGATCAGATAGCCCTTGCACCGACATGAAAATAATACCGGATTTTGCTTCTGTCAGCTCATATAGAAAAACGGTGATTTTCCGGCTATTTCTGTTAAGGAACGAAACTGCGCCGCCGCCGATCTTGAAAAATGGATCATCACATATCGTATAGATTTCTGCCACTTTTTGTCGCAGTGTGAACAGTTTTCAAGTAAAATGAGTAGGGGCGAGCGTGGGCTGCGACCCACTGATACTTAGTACACCAAACTGGCCTCTCGGCCAACCGGCCGCTCTGGTATGATGTTCGATATGTGTGGACGACTTGTTCCAGTTCTATACGGTTGTCGTTCATACTACCGGATACATTTTCATGTCGACACGAAAATCTATTTCCAGTATAGTGTGGACAGACTAAAAAAGTAAAAGAAGCAATCTGAACTACTAACAACTTAATAGTCATTTGTTGAGAATGAACCGATTTTAGTCCCTACAATTGTTATATTACCAGTGCTATTCAGTATTTTCTCGATGTCTTTCAAATGAAATTAAATATTATTAGGTATTTTATTGCAATAACCCATTAAACAGTTGCGTTCGTCATCTAAGTCCTGTTCCTTGGTGGACAAGGGAACTCCCATATGAAAATAACGGGGTTGCTCGTCTCTCTTAGACGTAGACATTGCAGTTTTTGGTCTCACTTTGACTGTGCAAGACAAAAAGCCAATATTTTTAACCTTAAATGTATCACTTAACCCCCTGCAAACGGACGTAACTTTGTTGGCCAACAACTCGCAACATTGTTCAACATTGTTGGAGGTTGTTGCGTCCGTTTGCGTGTAGCTTTAGGGTTGTGAGTAAAGAAATATCTATGTAATTATGAACAGATCAGACGTCGTCATAATGAGGCGATAGAGAGTGTTCTATTTTGGCTGCCATTTGTGATCGTAACTGAGGAGACTGGTTATGAATATTGGAGACCAGTGAAGATAAAAACAACGGCGTTCAGTTTATGGGTATAGTTTCTTGGTGTTGCAGACGGTGCAACTGCAATTATTAATCTACTTATCCGTCGAGCATTCCCCTATGCTTTCATATTGGAGCTTCCCCCCCTCCCCCCCCCCGCTCCAAGACCCCTTTTAACAATCTAAAGAAAAAAAATGGTGCTTTGACAACTATTAAACCATAGCGCCCCTACAGAAATTACAGCTTGGTATCAAGAGTACTAGTTTTACTGGTGTTAGTAGCGGATGCCTCACGGTAACATGGCTGGTTCTGATCCAGTAGTCTGAAATAATAGTAAGGGGTATCTTCTGTCATCATCTCTTCCAGTATCGGTATTAGTTGAACGAATGAGGGTCGTTCATTTGGATCCTCCTTCCAGCAGTCAATCGTCAATTTGTATCTGTTGAAAAAGGAAGCCATAGTTTAAAATACCGCTACACAAAGATATGTCTCCATTTGCTTTGAATATTGAAGACACTTATGTTCTATAGGCTCTTTTTAGAATGAGGTAACGTAAAGGAAAGAGGCGCGCTGCAGTTTCCACTCCCTTGAAAAGGCTGACAATTTTAGAAAAGAAGGACTATGAAGGACTATGTAAGTATTTCTTCATCTGCCCTCTATACGGAGGTCTTTTACTATTTCTATTCTGACTTACATTTCATCGCTGCACGTGTTGGGTTTCTCCATCCGATATCCAGATTTAAGTAAACTGCATAGCCTCATAGGGGTTATCCCGGGATATGGAGTACCTCCTAAAATAACAAAATAAAGATCAATGCTGTATATATATCAAAGACTATCAGGCTTTTTTAATTTTTCATTTTGAAATCGCTGGTGATCCCTGCAATCTGATTGGCTCTCAGCACTGTGATTTACTTACGAATCACAATATATTTTGCTCTATATCACATCTGTTCTAAATCGCGTTACTTAAACCACGTCGCCCCTTTTTGCTTTGTATCGCATCATCTCTGATTGGAATACAAAATGAGATGTAAAAGCCCTTTTGTTTCCGCTTTTCAACATGCTACTTGATCTGCCCACAGGCAGGTCTTTCCTTACAGTTCTTGATTTAAGGTACGCCTCTTGACCGCTACGTAAGAGCTGCCATCCTTCACTCTATCCAGCATTCCCGCTCGAAGTCTTCCGGGTGGTCTCTTTCCTAGTATTCTTCCCTCAATAACTGTTACGAAAAATTGTATTGCGTGACTAGCGTGACTTTCTAGAAAGTTCGCGAGAGTTCATTAGTTTGTTTATTTTCGGATCTTATGTAAGCGTTTCTAAAAGCGGTATATTTTGTAATCTTTCTATAATTAGACTATTTGGAAAGTTCTAGAATCTTATTGTAAAAGTATGTAAGTAGGCGAGCCCGAGTTAAGTCTTAACTAGTTCAGTTTCACAAGCGAAGAGAGTTTGACGTTGGTCGTGTTTAGTCAAGAGTGACGAAAGCAGTGTTTATTCAAGTTGGCAGAGGCCGTGTAAATTTATCGAGTTAAGTGCTGTTGTGGAGTTTTACTTCGTGGAAACTACGTTCATTTGTGGAATAGATCTTCTTGTTGCTGTTCCGACAACCCTGCGTTCAGTTTGGTTTGCAAGCTACCCGTCCTCTAAAAGATTACCCGCGTAACATGGGACATGATCACCATGTCGTAGGGTTTGACCAAGCCATACTCTCTGTCTTCTGTTGATAGCAGATATGATGGCCCGACACGCTTCAATACTTCTTCGCTGCAGACCTTGTCAGACCAAATAATGTTTAAGACCTTTCTCCAAAGCCAAATGTCACAGCTCTCTAGCCCTCGAACATCCTCTTTCTTCAAGGTCCATGATTGGGCTCCATACAGCAGAGTACTCAAGATGAAAGTCTTTGTAATTCTCTTCTTCAGGCAAAGGCTGAAGGCTTTTGTCAGCAGTTCTTTTCTCTTAGTAAACGCGTTCTCGGGAGTAATTTCTTTTTCACAGGATCCATCCTGTGTAATAAGGCTCCCAAGGTAGTTAATGTGCGATTCTTAACTTAATTGTTTACCCTCAAGAAAGAGTATGAATTCCTAAAGACCAGGCCTTTTACTGATTTTCATCACCTTAGTCTTCTTATTCTCCCGCGGTTTCCTACATTTTATCCGTCATAAGTTACTGAACTGGCTATATAAGGCTGCTTGATCACTCATACTCAAAGCGCACTGTCTTTATGAGATGACCTCCTAATCTACTATCTTTATTCATACCGCTTAAAGCATCTCTTAGCATGGCTTCAGAGTATATGCTAAAGAGTTTGGGGGATAACGAGCAACCTTGTCTGGTGCCACAGCCAATCACTGCTGGTACTGACTGAATTCTGCGATTTCAAAATGGCTGTAATAAAGTGATAATTTAACTTCGTGTCTTGTAATTAGGTCTGAAATCATACTTGTGATCTCAAATCGTACGATTTCAGACCAAATTGCTCTCCACCCAGTGCAATTACCATTATGTATTATCAATTTACCAACTTCCGGGAGGCTTAAAAAATAATAGGTGGGTTCATACTAGCTAAGTAAGTAGACCCTAAGTATCCCCGGAGTTCAAGTATACTTAAGAACACGTATGTGTACTTACCCAGATAAGCGTTCATATTTCAAATTCTAAGTATACTTCAAGTGACAGAGCCGTCAATCAATTTCCGCGCCAACTATGCAGCCATGTGCTTGAGTGCGCCAAA